CGCGCAGTGGGGTGGAGGGGAGATGCGGTGAGTAAACCCCCCTAATTATAGAGAGGGGCCAATGTTGGAACAACACTGGTTTAGAAGAATATGCCTCTTCACAACAGATGGGGAAGGAGCAAAATGGTTGGAAAGAATTTCTGCTGCATGATAGGTGTAAAACAACTTGGAAATACTTAAGCCTCTAGTTCCCAGGCATTCACAAAAAGGTATGTGATCGCAGTTTGAGGATAAATGTAAAACACACACAGATTTTCAAGCATTGAAGAATTTATATTGTACTGCCAAAAAAGCCCTCTTAATTTGAACACGTAATTAAAATGTACTTCTCAGCTACTAATAGTAAATTGAACTACTTGATTCATCATCATCTTCTTTTCTCTCATGCTAAATGGTAACTTTCTATTTCAGATTTCAGTGCAGGAAAGACTAAGATTATATCATAGAAGACAAGATCTCAGAAAAGTTTGAAAGGCCCACACTTACAAATGTGTAGCATTAAAATAGCATTGTATTTCAAGGGTATTAGTTGTTGTTTCTTATTTATTATTCATTACTTTTGCACCAAGGGTGCCCTTTATTTTATATATACCAAAAGCCACAGAACCTGTGGTCCTCCAAATATTGTTGGATCTATTTTCAACAGTCCTATCATAAGAGAAAGAATTGAGACCAAAACCTGGAAAGCCACAATTCAAAAGGATTTAGGATCTTTGGTATACATTTAATTGTTTATAAGAATTGCAGATAGTGACATTACAGTATATAATTTGGATATGCTTCTGTAATTCCTATTTTACATACCTTCTGCATTTCTAAAACCCCAGATTTCTGGGAATCTATCTGACTTTCCAAAAATAGAAACTTTTTAATGGCAGCTAACATTTTCTAAAAGATACTTAGTCTGCTATACAGTATATGATTTTTCTCTATAAACCAAGAATGTTGGGTATATCCTATATTGATTCTCTCAATGGAGAATATATCCTAAAGTAGAATAGTTCTTCAATGGATAAATAATTGCAGAAAGCATTTGAAAGCACTGTTTTATATCCATCAATAAACCCTATAGAATTCAATAAATGGCCTCTGTATGGCTCAAGAGAGTTTCTGATGTCCAGAGTTCCCTATTAAGTTTATTGAAAGCAGCTAAGACAAATCATTTATTTTTCCAAATAAACAGTATACAGTCAAGTAAATGAACAAAAACAGAGGTGTCTTCAAACAAGATTTAGAGACTTTTTGGGCTTATGCACTCTATTGAAATCTTGAACACAGAGAAGGGATTATGGCTACGTCCTCTGACCCTGCTGGGCTAGAGAGAGCAATATTGTCCCCAGATGTATCTTTATCTC